TTTCCCTAAGTTCTACTTTCCATTTCCCTACTCCAAATCTGATTTAAGCGCAACTCAGTTGACATCTCTGTGGATTCAACAAAGGTGAACTGAGAGCTGAATGAGACCCAGCATCTTTGTAAGTATTGACAATTTTAAATTACAACTAAGGATTCATGGTAGCAGTGTGGTTTTGAAAAAGTGGCTGCAGAAACAATCCAATGGTCCCCAGGACACAAACAAGGACGAATATCCAGAGAAACAGCCTGTCCACTACCATGGCAACGTACTTCCAATCTTCAATGACCTGGAAGAAAAAAGCCAATTAAAAATATTAGCAATTTGTCATATTCTTTTGCTCTTCCTCTTGCTAATGCTGAGTTTTGCTTTGCAAAAATAAAAGTAAACAAATCTCAAAGTTCAGGGAATAAACTGACTTTAGGCTTGAGAAGGGACTTTTCTCCTACAACCATTCTGGAGAAAAATACTGTAAAAATTTCATAGCTGTCTTGGATGCATCAGATACTGAGCATGTCCGCCTGGTGGAAGCCAATCCGGAAGGACTCATAGTATAATCCAATTAAGGAATTTTTTTCTTTGATTTTAATTTGCAGATGCTAATAGTCTCAGTGGGCAAAAATAGATGGTGTCTACTGCTGTTAAACAAGGTTAGCTTCAGAGTTCTTTTCTTATCAGCAGTCATCTTAATCAAGGGTTTTAATGCATATTAATACTGTTGCTTTTATTAAAATCCCTTTTTGCCTTGCATATGTTGTCTATGAAAGTCACTGCCTTAGGTTCTGTCAAACTGAAGTGACTGTCAGGCTGTTATTGGGGGAATATATCAATCTTCATTTGCATCTCAGGAATGATTATTTTTTTCCTCTCTCATTGATTCTTGTTACACATGGGGCATCCTCACCTCAGTGGCTTTACCATGCTTGTTGGTTATCTCATGTCTTACATTAGAACATGATGTATTTTTCCTTCAGTGCACACTTTTAATTTCCAGTGCTGCTAATGGGAATTATGCTCTTCTGAAATCATACTATAGTAAATGTACATGAACAGTTGTTATCAGACCATGATAATGAAGGAAGAAAGCAGAGATTAAAATCACGAATCTAGAAAAGTGATATGTAATATCAGAGGACCCTGTGTGAAAAGCACTCAATTAATTTTTAATGTATAAAATAGTCTTGAAAATTGTTCTTAATATCAAGTAGAAGCTTTGTAGATCCTTTAGTATGCAACACATTCTTGCAAGCATTTCTGAGCTATTAGAAAACTTTTTTCTGTGCTATGAAGTCTGCTTCTGTTCAGTCAGTTTCAATGTTTATGAGCTCATGTCTAATGTTAATAGCTGATCTTCTTTATTTATATTGACAGTAATTTGAGTTAATAGAAAACATGAACTGCACAGCAGCATACTCCTCAAGGGACTTCTGCAAGATTAGAAACCAGACATTATTTAATTTGCTGGGCTGAGGG